CTCCCCGCTCTGTTCAGAGGATCGCCCGTTGGCGTTCCTATTTTTGGTCTCTGGCCGATGGGGTTGTTTTCCTTAAATGTCCCAGGGCTTCGGAAAACGCTTCCGTTTTTAAGACAAAGCCAAATGCCAACGACGCCTGAGTCACGACGCGGAGCAGCGTCAGCCATGGCCGAGGGCCCTTCGGGAGGTCCGGTTTCCTGCCAGTCGCCTGCGGGGGGGGGACGACAGGGGGCTCCTCTACTCCCCAGATGGAGCGGCCGCCTGCCCGCCCGGTGGGCTTGGGGTTCCTTTCCTGCCCTTTATTCCTCTTTTTCTTGGGCACGATCTGGCCCCGCTGCCTGGATGTACCCCCTTTGATGGGCAGACAGATAACACTAGGCCCCCCCTGCACTACATAAATGTTGGGGATGATGGGAGCTGTTGTCTTCCAGGCCACCTGGAGGGCACTGGTTTGGCAGAGAGCTGGCCCAGAGTAGACCTTTTGTCTAGATGGGCGGGATAGAAATCCAATGAATAAACTGAATTAAAATAAATAAAGGGCACGGCCTGCGGGAGGCTCGGCCAGCCGGAACCGTCCGCATGGGCTGTGCATTGTAGACTTACGGGGGGGGCAACATTCAAGGTTGGAGGGAGGGGGGGGAGAACAACCTTTTTAAAATGTAATAACGGGGAGCCGCCGTCAGTCCCTAAATCGCGAGAAAGGTGGCATACAAATAGAAAGAGGAAATAGCCAACTGGGGAGGCGGCTGGTGGCACAGATGCCGGCGATGGACGAGCTCTCGGGGTCTCCTTGGGCTTCCTGATCTCATCCTGTTAGCGGCCCTTGCAGACGCCGCGGCCAGAATCCCATCCTCCTTCCTGGCTCTGAGACGGGCAGGTGGTTCGGCCGCCTCATGCATTCCTTTCTTGGGCTCTTCTCTGCCTCCGTTTTATGGTGTCCGTATGTGTGTGTGTGTGTGTGTCGGGGGGGGAGTAGACACGCCGTGTGTGTCTTCCACTGGGGGCAACCTGGAAACGTCGGCCGCCCAGTGAGACTCCTGGATGCCTCCCAGGAAGGACCCCCCCCGCCTCTGAAACCTGGAGTGTCGATGGGTGTTTTGGACTACAAACCCCAGAATCCCTTCCCATCGCTCGTGCAGGTTGTGCCCTTTGAGGAGTGTAGTCCAAAGCAGAGTCTGGAAGAAAGCAGAGGAGAGGGTCATTCTGCAAAGCCAGTGATGCCGCCCTGGATTCTCTTCCGCCTGAGGTGGCTGGGCATACTTCTGTGACCTGGAGGGGGGGGGAGCGGAGGAGAAGCGGCCTCTTGCGAACACGCGCACGCACACGCAGACACACATCCTTCCTTGACCCCAAAGGAGCACTTCTGCCGCCTGGGGCTACGGTCAGGGGCTGTTAGCTCTCTGGCTTCTTAGACATCCTTGTCTTCGTTTTTTAAAAAAAACGGTTGCTGCTTTAAGATCGGCCGTTATATTATGTCTTATTATTAGATTCACCAGGATTTGTGGCTCCGGACTGTGGTTTAAGCGCAAACCTGGGTTCAAGGTCCCCAGTGACTTATGAAACTCATCAGGGGACCAAAGGCAAGCCCTCCCCCCCCTTTTTTTCTCCCTTGCCCGGATCTACCCCACGGAGCTGTTGTGAGGAAATAAAAGGAGAGGAGAAACAGCCCCGTCCGCCCGTGATGCTGCCTTGTGTCCCCTGAAGGGAAAGCGGGAGATGATTTCTGCCCATAAATCAGGGAGCAGCCCTCGCCTGTGTCTTCGGTGGACGTTGCCCTGAGGCCTGCTGGCCACGGGGCGACTCAAGCCTTCTCCGAAATGAACGAATCCGTAATGTGCTTTTTCCTTTCTGGCCGCCTGCAGCGTGAAGCCCATGCTGGAGAAGGCCTGCCCCATGCCCGCCCTGGACAAGCTGGAGGCCCTGCCCAAGGAGAAGAGCGCCGAGGCCCCCAACGGCAGGTGAGCGGGTTGGGGAGGGCGGGGAGATGGGGGGGGGGGCCTCGTCTGATCTTGCCTGCTGGAACCCACCCTCTGACTGGGAACCCGGCCCGCGGAAGGGGGTCGAAGCGGCTCCGCTGGGAAGTAGCCCCTCTTCAGCCGAGGTCCCGCCTTCCAGCCTGGCGTGGGTGGGTTTTCCCTCTCCTTTCCTGCCCCCTTTTCCTTGCCTGCTGGGACTTTTTGGATGGGGAGCCATTGGGGGGGGACGGGGGCTGGCTTCGTCTCCCACCATCTGACCATGACCGAGTTCTTGGGAGCTGTTCCTGCAGCCTTTCCTGGCCCGGAGAAGGGCAGGGATCTCCCCCATTGAGTGTGTGGGTGCAAGCAAGCAAGCAAGCCCGCATGTATGTGTGTGTGTGGGGGGGGGGCGGAAGGCAGCCCCCGGTGCTGATGTCTGGACACTTTCTCTTGCAGCCTGCGCCTGAGTGAAGCCACCAAGAACAAGCCTCTGAAGAAGTGCCCCCAGGAGGTTACGGTGAGCGAGGGAGGGAGATGCAGATGGATGCTGGCGGGGGGGGGGGCAGCTGGCTGCGGGTGCGCTTCCAATCGTGAAAGCACCATGCTCTGAGACCACCGGCTGGCGCCGTCGACACTCCAGTCCCCGGGATCCGTCCCCTGGACCACCTCCACCCCCCGCCCTGCCAGTGCCGCTGCGCCGCCTACTCTTAGAGGGGGTCATCTTCACGTGAGAGTCACCTGGAGGGCCCCCCCCGTCCTGCCTCGTCTCTTTTATGACTGCTTTCCATCCTCAGCCGGCACTTTCCTTGGAGGGAGGGGACGAGGGAGGGGGAGAAAGGTCATTCGAGAGGCCTGCCTGAGCGTTTTCCCTGCCCCCCCACACCCCCTGGAAGTGAAAAGGAAGCACTAGTGAAATGGGGGGGGGGGACAGCCAAGCGGGTCTTCCATTTAGGCAGGAAAGCACCGTGTGGCCTGTCAGCCGGTGAGGTGGGCTCATGCCCGGGCTGCGCCCTGACCCGTGGCCACTGCCGGTGTCTGTGGGAAGCCTCCCTGATGCCCGAATCACCTCTTATTGATCTTCTATTTCCAGGCTCCCAATAAATATAATTTGCAATATCACAAGTTGTTCAAGGACATTCCCACAGAGGAGAGCGTGCTGAAAGGTAAGGGGGCAGGCAGCGGCCTTTGGGCAGGAAATGCCCCTGAAGGGGGCCTGCGGGGGGCTCTCCCTCCACACCCACGCCCCACGATGTCCCTCCTGCAGGGAGACGTAGGGGGCACTCAGATATACCCAGCAACCCCCGGATCCTACCCCTCCCCACTTGCTGCAGCCCAGGGCGGAGGCTCGGCAGGTTGGAGGACTCTGGACTGAGGCCGATCGAAGCCTTTCCTCTCCTCTCAGCTCCTGCCTGGTGGCAGCCCCTATGAAGGGCTGGGGGGGGGGACCGTTGTGGGTGGGAAGGGAGACCGACCGACCGCCCTCCTTCCTTCCTTCTCTCTCTCTCAACGGGGCCTCCTCTGCTTTGGGCTTTTCCTTCCCCAGTCTGCTCCTGCGCCCTTCAGAGGGACATCCTGATCCAAGGCCGCCTGTACATTTCCCCCAACTGGCTCTGTTTCTACGCAAACCTTTTCGGGAAGGATATCAAGGTACGTCCGTCTTGGGCAGCCTTTCAGCTGCTTGGCTCTTCCCGAACCCCAACAGCTGCGGTGGAAAGGGGGGAAACCTTGGGAGCAAACCATTTCAGCCCCCCCCCCGTCTCTCTTGATGGCCGTCAGAAGATGGTCAGAGAGGGCGAGGCTTTCCCCGCAATTCCACGCCACCGGCCTGATCTACAGTTTTTGAGGTTAAGCAAGCAAACGCAGGGCGGCTGCTGGCGAGCGTTCTCCCATATTTAGAGCAGGCTCCCTCCAAAGAGTGCCAAAGGCCTGAATTACAGTATTTATAGAGGCAGAACTACCTCCGTATTGAAATAAACATCACAGGAGCAGAGGAGGCGCCTTCCCGCTCCCCACATCCCGCCTGCCTGCCTGGCCGGCCCCCGAGCAGCTTCCTTGGACCCCGGAGCTCCGTAGGGACCTTGCAGGATGGTTGCCTCGGAGCCCCTGACGGGATGCACGAGCCCGCCAGCATCTCCTCCCGGCCACTGCCCCTCTCAACGCTTCTCTGCCAAGTCTCTCGACTCGGGCCCAGAGACACGGCCCTCTAGATGTCTGTGGACTCCAGCTTCCGTCATTCCCATCTGTTGGCTCTGCCAGCTACGGCGGAGAGAGAGAGAGAGGAGACGGGATCAGAAGGGCCAGACGTCCCTCTCCCCGCCCCCCCCATCCCTGCACTGCATCGTCTGTGTGCGGTGTTGCTGGCAGGGCAGGGCCCCCATCCGTGGGGGCTGGGTGTGGGCGATGGTGTTCAGAAGTGCTTCTCTCTGGGCAGTGGTCCTGAGCGCAACGGCTTCTAAGTAGGCAGGTGTCTTGGACATCAGCGCCTGTAAACATGACTAGGATTTGAGCTCTAGAAAAGGCATCACTGCCGCGTAGAGTCCTCCCCACCCCACCCCACCCCATCCGGACCGCTTTCCCTTTCTCCGTTCCAGGTGGTCATTCCGGTCGTCTCTGTCCAGCTGATAAAGAAGCACAAAACCGCCAGGCTGTTGCCCAACGGGCTGGCCATCACCACCAACGCCAGCCGGAAGGTCAGCAGCTGCTGCCAGGCTTCCCTTGCCAACGCCTGACCCGGCCCCTTTGGTTTTGCGCTGGGCCTGGGGTGGTTAAGCCCCCCCCCGGTTCTCCTTACAAGGCCACGGGAAGGGGAGGCAGGCATGACCCCCCATGGGTGGAAGAGACCCCATTGTCGTCTCCCTCTTGAGAGGTTGGGCTTGGACTGCAACTCCCAGCATGCCTCAGCCTTGGCCTTCCAGGCAGGGGCTGATGGGAGTCGGAGCCCTAATCTCCCCCCCCTGCCCCCGCCCCCGCTGTTGTGAGAGATTCGAATCCAGGGACACTCCCAAGAGGTATTGGTTTAAACAGTTTGGCCCTGCCTTGCGTGTTTCAGAAGAATTTCCAGGCCACTTGGCTTTCAGCACCCATAAGGGGAAACCGTTCCCCCAGGCTGCCCGTCTGGGGGAGGAGGGGAGGGCAGGGACTCCGGCCAAAGCTAGCCTGGAAAGGGCGGAGGGCAGAGGACCAAGGCAGCCCCGGCCCCTTCCTCCTCCTCCTCCTCCTCCTCCTCCTCGGCTTCAGGCCCGTCTTGTGCTGAGGCAGCAGGAGGGCGACGGCCATGCTCTCTTTCACCCACGTGGCCTCTTCTTGAGGTTCGCTTCAAGGTATATTTGTTCAGGTTGCTTCCCTCTGACTACGTGGCAGCTTCCCCCAAGCTGGTCCTCTCCCATAATCCCCAGCTTCAGTGGCCAGGGACGGCTGGAAGCTGGGGAAGATGGGGGTTGTGGTCTAGCCCAGTGGTTCTTAACCTTTGTTCCTTGGATGCTTTTGAACTGCAACTCCCAGAAACCCCAGTCAGGACAGCTGATGGTGAAGGCTTCTGGGAGTTGCAGTCCAAAACTCCTGAGTAACCCAAGGTTAAGAACCAGTGGTCTAGCCTATCTGGAATAGGCTGGATTAGGAAAGCTGACCAGGAGTAAAGTATTCTAGGAAGATGAGACCTTCCCCCCCACCCCCACCCCCGGGAGGAAAAGCAGGAACCCTCCTGTGCAAAAGCCCAACGGGGGACTCCAGCTGCTCACAGGCTGTGCGGTGCAGTGGTTGGGTCAGAGGGTTGGATTGGACCTGTGGAGCCCCAGGGCCGCATCCTTCCTCGGCGAGGGAGCTGGTTGGGCCAGGTGCCGTCACACTGTTTGCCCTACCTTGCTGGGAGGTCCTGAGGACAAAACGGGGAAATGGGAAGCCACTTGGGGGAGGGGCGCTGAAGGGTGCAGAGGAAGGGCAGCTGTGGGTTTCCCCCAGAAGGCGACCTTCCCACCCCCTGGAGGAGACCCACGCCTCGGGGGGGGGGTCCAGTCCAAAGCAGGAAGGGGCTTGGCTCGGCTCAGGCGGACTGTGGGTACCTTTGGCCAGGGTGCTTGTTGGCCTGGCAATGCTGGCCAGGGTGGGGGGTGGGGGGGCGACCCGGGTCCTTTGGCCTGCCTGCCTGTTTCGGGGGGGGGCCCTTGGTGAGACCCTCCTCCTGTGCTTGGCTTCCAGTACATCTTCGTCTCCCTGATCTCCAGAGACAGCGTCTATGACGTCCTGCGCCGGGTCTGCACCCACCTGCAGGTACCCCCAGCCCCTCCCCCCAGTTGCCACTAGGGGCCCTCGGAGCCCCGGGGAGTCACTGGCCCCGGGTTCCCCCCGGGGCGTTACGTGGCTTCAGGTTTGGCCCAGGGTGGGGAGGGGATGAATTCCCCCTCTGGGCAGGGGGAGGAAAACCTCTCTCGGGCTGCCGGAGGGAAGCGCTTGCTCGGAGGCCCCTTGGGACTCTCCCTGCACCCGCCCAGCCTCCCTCCGGTTGCCAGCCTGTGCGACTGGGGCTCCCCCTTCCCGTGGGCGTGTCCCGAGCCCAGGCCACAGCGGGGACCCCTCTGACCTCCTGCCCCGTTTCGCAGGTTTCCAGCAAAAAGAGCCTGAGCTTGAGGGAGCTGACCGAGGAGCCGGGTGCCGTGTCGCTGGTAAGGCCGGGCTTCTGCACAGAAGCTGCCCCGCCCCGGACCGTCGGTGGCTCCCCTTTGCCTGTGGGTGGGGGGTGTTGGCGAGGCGCCCCCAAGCCCCCCCCCAAGCACTGGGGCAGGCCTCTTGTTGCCAAAGCCACGCTCCATCAGCACCACGGCTCGTGACGGGTCAGAGGCACCCGGGACGGTGTCCTCCGGGGAGGGCCGGAGACCAATTTTGGGGTCCAGAGGAAGAGCCCCGGTTGGGGAGGGGCCGTGGTGGGTGAATGGCCACAGAGAGCCAGGCTGTTCCCGGAGCCATGCTAGAAAGCGGCCTCCCTCCCTGCCCTCCTCCCTGCCTCTGTTTTGTCCTCTTGCCTCAGGACTGCCCACCTTGGAAGCCCGCAAGGGGGGGGGCTCTTGGCTTGAGAAGATGCTCCAGAAAAGGACGGGGGGGGGAGGCTTTTTCTGCAGCTGGTGGAGGCAACTGTTAAAAGTACAGGAACCCTGTCCTCATTCTCATCTTGCCACCCACCTCTC